CCCGCCGCCTGTCCCAACAACAGCCCAGCCCCAGCCGCAGGGAGCGGCTCCGGCAGCGGCACGTGCCAACGGGAATGACCGCCTTGGGACTGATCCTGTGCCCTTCCCCTGGGTCCCACGGACACCCCGACATCCCCGCAGAGGACCGAGCCGCTGGCATTTCCCAGCGCGATGGTGGGGGAGTGATGGAGCCAGCGGCTCCACTCGGTGTTTCCCAAAGTCTTGACCGAGCGCTCGACGCCTTCAGCCCACCCGGCGGGACAAGCCCCAGCCAGATGCTGCCCGTCTCCCCATCACACGGGCACCGCGGGGGATGGCCGGTGCAGCGATGCTTCACCTTGCCGGGGATGTCCCAGCGTGCGAAACCCCTCAGCGGCGGCTCGCAGGAAGGTGAATTTGGCAGGAGGAAGCCCGTGCCTTGCATAAGAGCCGGTGTCATCCCCGACGAGCACCTGCGGCGGAGCCCCGTCTCCGGATGGATGGCCTTCGTGCCATGCGGCTGCGTTGTTCTCCTCTTCCTCAGCTCTCGGAGGACAAGCTGGTTTTCCCCGTTAGCTGGAAATTTCAACTTGGCAACTTTCATTTCCCCTCTGCCCTCGAGACACGTGGGAGGAACTGGCAGATTGGGCAGCGTGTCCAGCCCCTGCTCGGCTGTCCGCTCCGCTCGGGGGGACCCCGACGGGCAATTTTGGGGCGTTCACTCATCACAAACATCCCGTGTCCCCTCCCCACGCCGCCCACAGTTTCCCCAGCACTTTGAGGATCCTCATTTGAAGGTGCCCCGAGAGAAGGGCTGGAGTTCATCGTCCCCTGGGTTAATGATTTTGCTTGTAGGCGGGGAACGGCAAACACTGTCCCCACCGCTCTGTCCTGCTGCAGCGAGAGCAGCCCTGCTGCTGAGGATGCTTTCCCCGTCCCTGTTTTCCACTGTGAGTTGCTGGAGGTTTTAAATAAAAAATAAGCTTTCTGTGCTGCTAATGGAAAGCGCTTCCTTCCAGCCACAGCCCCCGCAGCAGCTCAGGGCTCCTAAATCATGGCTGAGAGGGCTTGGGGTGGGGGGGATGGGGTTGGTGGTGGGGTGTCTGCAGCCCCCCAAGGGGGGAGAGGTGCATGAGGGACGGGGTGGGAGCCCATGGGGATGGTTTGGCAGGTCCACGGTTGCCTTGGCATCACCGCCAGACCCTGCCAGGGCATCTATTCCCCAGGTGTGTCCCCTGTGATTCAGCCAAGACCTCGCAGCTCCTCGGGGACATCCCCTCCCGTGCTGTTTTCTGCACCCTTGGGTGCTTGGGCACCCCCTTATTCCCCCTGGGAGCAGAGCTGGGGGTGCTCCCACCACGCAGCTCCAGGACTCTCCTGCTGCCTGGGTTTCCCCAGGGAAGTGCTCTCGATACGGGGAAGCCCCCGTTTGAACGAGCCCTCGGTGGTCCCCAGGGCCAGCGGGAGACCTGGCAGGGCTGTGCCGGGCATCGCCGGCGTTAATCCGGGCACTGAACCGGGCTGACGAGGGATGCGCGAGGTCGGGGGTCACCGTCAGCCCCCGCCACGCTCCGTTCGCATCCTCGCCGGCGCGGGG